AGCCTTATGTTATTGGGCTGAATTAATCGAACGCGTTACCTTCAAGAACCTTGCCAGATATCCTAGCAAAATAGCTACTTAATGCCCGTGACCGTGACTCCCAATATATAATTCTATATGGCCAACCACGAATTTCAAATCTCCAATCAACTCCTTACGGCGGCTTTCCGAATGATATGGTGGCAGCTTACGACACCTCCTTTGCAAGTAAGTAGTTGGCAACGCTTCGGTCTCCTGGTGCTCAAAGTGAAGCTTAGTAATGCAGGGTAAAATATATGCGGTACTCATTGCTTCCTACTGTCTTGCGTATCAACCAAGTTTTCTAGTCTCAAGATAACCTGAAACTCTCGTATTCAGAACTACCAAGAACGAAAAGACTGGTGAAAGCAAACACTTATAGACGCTTGCTCATCTGACTCCCACGTTGCGTAAATCTCCAAAATCTGCTAACGACTGTCGTGTTATTAGAGAGGAACAACTTGGATGATCTTCCGAGATCCAGGTCGTTGCCATTTGGCAAAGTACACTTCCATAAGTTTCAGCAGCACTTGGACTACTCCTTGTGTGCCTTCTCAAACAACTAGATGACCGTGAGTGTTCATCTCGTGGTTGTTAACAGTTGCTCTACCCTATTTTCCTTCCTGTTCTTCGAAGTCATGATGTTCAAATTTTCTTTCGGCCACTACTAGGACATTCTCTTCGAAGTTGCACAGTAGCCAAGTATCGCGATCTATTTCTAATTGAGGTTGTAAATAAGACGAAATATGTGCACCTGAAGGAAGTGTGTGATATCCAACTTCCTTGATATCGATAGATTTTTTTCCATTCCCAATTACCATGCGCCATAGAAGTCATTTGAAATGCATAGATGTCGATGAAGCTTATTATTGCTGAATTTGGTGCGCGTGCATCGAGACCAAAACACCTTCAAATTTTCTTCAATTTTGGCATTTTGATCCTTTCAATCTCCCAGCCCACATGACACGCTCTCGATGAATATACAAATCCCATGAGCATCGTGACGGTGATTTAGAACCTAAATAGTAATGTATTGCACCCCTGTAGTGTCAATTCAATACGAATGAGGAGGGGAATGATTGGTATCCGTGATAGTTTGGTGGTTAAGGCCGTCCAGAGTGAAGCTGGAAGAGCCAGGTGTGGTCTTGCAGAATTTATCAGCCTCGTGGTAAGTGGTATCCTAAATATCCAACGTAACCTTAGACTAGTGTCCTTAGATGTTATCTGCAGTCCATTCCCCAGGGCAAAAGCCTCACTGATTACTTAAAGTTATCTAGTGTTCAGTGTGTCTTTCGTATTATCCGTGATATCTTCGTCATTGGCCTGATGCTCAATGGTATTTTCTGTGTAAAACCCTCAAGGCAATCCGGAGGTGTCAGTAATAAGTAAGTTGTCCAATACACGTTTTGTGTTCCCAATAATATTTCCCTTGTACATTAGGGACAACATATAAACCACAGCAAACAGACTTGCTTTAATCAATCGGTGTGTTGCGTAATCTAGCAGCAAATACATTTCCCTTCAATAGGCACTGGCTTCATAAAATTAGGATGTTTTGAATCTGTTATCATCAAGCTGGGGCAAATCTGTAAATCTGCTTCGTTGCATGCTACACAAGGAAGCCCCCGATCTGATAAGGCGGAGTCCAACGCTCTGGTCGATAGAAGAAAGCATAAGGCAATAAACGAAGATCCACCAATACCCACATCCGTATACCAACTGGGTTTTCGATAGAGACTCAACTGAATCTCTCATTAATGACAGTTTTCTGGTGAATTCGTTGCACATGGGCCGTTTCATGTCTCATTCGGTACCATATGGCTGACGTTGCACTACTTCTCATTCTATACGTGGAGTGTTTGTTTTACCTATATTTCCCGGGACTTCCTTATGCATAGCATCAAATTTCTCGGATTGGTCAGGTAATTCGGTTTAGCCGGTGTAGAGAAATGGTCAACTATCTCATTCCCCATGATTGAACTGCAGGAATCCCTAAGTACTGAGGTTCATTTTACAGAATTCCAACGAGTATGTGAATGCATCCTTTGTGCTGTGACCGGTTGCTTCCCAGAAAGCGCATGCAAGCGCCCTGACTTTTGCGTTAAAATGCACTACTTGACGAATTTCTCCAATGCGACCGCATATGTGGACGAAAATTGTGCCCATACACCGGGTAGCAACTTTACACGTGAATATCGGCAGCCATGTTTAACACAGCGACTGTGCGTCATGTAGCTAGCAAGGTTGTTTTCCGATTTGAGAGGTTCATGAGATTGGTCACTTGTATTCTGCTGTCCCAAATGAACTTAGTGAAGGTGTCGCATTAGTGTTTTGCCTGCGCCAGAAAATGCATGCTAGATCACATACGCTTATATATATATATAAATACACATATGTAAGTATATATATATACTATCCAGAACGTAGAATAATCAATCAGATTCCAGTTCGAGATAGATTACGTTGGGCCAGCCATACGTTCATCATATTAACCTCCAGGATAATAGAAAGATAACTTTCAAGCCGCAATAGCAAGACTGCGTGGAGAGTATAGGGGGCAGGGATGATACCCATTCCATCCTATTGTGAAAATCCACAAATAATCAACCTGAAATGATGATAGTCCAGAAATCTTTATCCACAGCCGTTAATATGTAGCTGATCTATGGGCAGTCCAAGTGTACGTGTACAAAGTTGTGATTTTCCAATGTGTCAAATTTTAAATCAAGTTTACGCATAATGGTAGTCCGCGGGACAGTTTGTCACCCCGGGCGTCTCATACTCGTTTACTCTGTCTTCATACAAACTCCTTATTAAGAGTGCACATATTTCAAACTATTCTTTTTAAACGGTCGGAATTGCGTTCATTTGAGTTCCCCTTTTTGTACGGCAGATGTTCGAGTTGAAGGTATGCTAGAAAAAGCCGGATCACCTCTGCCCTGGACACCAAATTATGACGATAGGACATCGTCAGACTTCAAAGACGTGGAAACTGCGACCTGTAGATCAGTAAGTCAGCGTCATCAAGCCCGGAGCGTTTTCAAAAAGCCCAATCTCCGTAATTACCTCATTTTATGGGCTACATTTCTACTCACCACCCCCCGCCAAAAACATTTATAACCCATTCACTGCATAAGTTTTCTAACTCCACGAAACAAAGTCATGTATCAGAAGTGGGTCCCAATGATCGGACAGCAAGATGCCCTCTCGAAGCATTCAATATAACTAGAGTACTGGGGGCATACCCAAACACTAGAACGCTAGATGATGAAACAAGCAGGATACTACCCGGTTTTTCTTTCAATAACATCACCAGATGTCGTAAACCTACGTTTGTTCAAATGCCAGTATGCAATCTTATAGTAAGGCCTTTCAATAATGCAAATAGATTCAGCGCAAATTTCATTGCTGATCTGCGATAAAAGGAATTTCTATGCAGTAACTTCACTGTAGAAAAATGTTTTCAATGTTCGGCTCGCACGTCGCAAATTAGATGCGAGCAGTCGTATCAACCCGTGGAGCAAAACCACGGCAATAGGTCAACCAAACCAACACAGCAATGTTGGTGGTTCAAACTCGGGCATATTATCTTGCAGAATGAAAATGCCATTGGTTAGGCTACTGTAGGTGAACAAAACTGCTTAGTCAGATGATAACCCGGAAGATTATAACGCTGTCTCTTCTAGAAATATATCCTGCCGAAACACGGTTGGTGGTTCTTCGTGTGAGGTAAAACGAATTTCTTTAAGCTGATAGAGTCTGACAGCATTTCCATGTGATAAACGTATTTTGGTGTGGTTTACCCCCCACAAAGCCTCAACTCCGAGAAAACTCTGCTTTACCCCAGTCGGGTTGCTTCAATCCACTGATAATTTTAACTTCTAATCGTATAGCAACTCTCATGCATACACAAACTGAGGCTAGTGCAGGGACTGATTTGTCCTTGCGTTTCCAAGCTGCGCTTTGAAATTTACTCCGTTCTTTGTGTAAATGAAAGAGCGTCCAACACGCGGCAGCTAAAAGCGTTGTGGGTTTTAACAAGGTAAAGTGCGAAGAGACCCCCTTTTCAAAGTAGATGGTTTTTATTAAACGATAAGGACATATTTGTTGCTGGTAGAGCCGCATCTCACGAATGACATAACCAGTGCAACTTTCAAGGTCAAAGAAGAGCGCTTGTAAGTGTGGCTGCAAGCGTTAACGTGACCACATGCACCGCAAGTAGCAAGGGTTACATAATAAGCCACAATGGCGTCAGCGACAGGAAACTCACCACCCAAAATGGTGTGTAGAGTTTCTGTCATGAGTTTCTGGGCAACGAATGGACCAAATCTGTTCCACAGGTGTGTAAATTCCTTCTGATAAGCATGGATATTCCTCATCACAGGATTATACTGGCTTGTTTACTGTTATCATTTTTTCTATTGATCGTCTACTTACATGAGCGGCCTGTATTTATTTGTCGTTAACCACTGGCAAAACAGATTAAAATTGTTTCCTTTCACGGCGTGCATACATCGTATTTTATGTACTACTGTTTATTCAAACAGGCAAGTACATTGCTCAGAACGGCGTCATAATTGACCTCAAACCGGATTTGTCTCCTCTCTGGGTGCCACGGGAGACCAATTTTTATCGGTTACCCTAAAAAGAGCAAAAAACCCTATAATTGTCTTTGGCTTGTTTGCTGAGCTGGGCAATGTGATTGCAATCGAGGTGACATCGTCAGCGCGTTATTGGGGTGCGTGGTTTTATGCGTAGCGGTAGGTTAGTGGTTGTACGTTGAGTAGTGCTACGCGTGTATTAATATAGGTACTGCTAGCGTAAGACTAGTCAAAGCACAACCACTAACCCGACGCTACGCACCACTGCGCTCCCCAATAACGCACTGATGATGTCACCTCGATTGGTGATGAAACGTTTGCAATCGATTTGTCCAGCCCAGCGATGAAACCAACGTCTGCAATCAAATTGCCTAGCTCAGCAATGAAACAAACCATCCTAACAGGCAAGTCCTCAGAACGGCGTCATAATTGACCTCAAACCGGATTTGTCTCCTCTCTGGGTGCCACGGGAGACCAATTTTTATCGGTTACCCTAAAAAGAGCAAAAAACCCTATAATTGTCTTTGGCTTGTTTGCTGAGCTGGGCAATGTGATTGCAATCGAGGTGACATCGTCAGCGCGTTATTGGGGTGCGTGGTTTTATGCGTAGCGGTAGGTTAGTGGTTGTACGTTGAGTAGTGCTACGCGTGTATTAATATAGGTACTGCTAGCGTAAGACTAGTCAAAGCACAACCACTAACCCGACGCTACGCACCACTGCGCTCCCCAATAACGCACTGATGATGTCACCTCGATTGGTGATGAAACGTTTGCAATCGATTTGTCCAGCCCAGCGATGAAACCAACGTCTGCAATCAAATTGCCTAGCTCAGCAATGAAACAAACCATCCTTAGTGATGTAATCATTGTAGATAACGCACTATGTCACCTCGATTGGTGATGAAACGTTTGCAATCGATTTGTCCAGCCCAGCGATGAAACCAACGTCTGCAATCAAATTGATTGCCTCAGCAATGAAACAAACCATCCTTAGTGATGTAATCATTGTAGGGTGTATGAGAAAAGCACATATGACACGATGTTTTACGGTACTTGCTTAATTTGTGGTTTTCGGCATCATCTTAATTCCAGCTGCGGAAAGCCATTGACACGCACACACTCATCGCCGCACCTTCTTGCAAGTTGATGTACCTCTACGAAGGATCCGTATACGCTGTGTCAAATCTTGCATTTGATGAAAGCGCAATAATCATTGACGGGATCAGGTACAGCATAGCATCGAATCATGAGCTGATACGGAATGCTATCGAGGCATATTCTGATCCAGAGCAGGGTGCTGAATTTCAAGCTCCAGTCACTGTGCGAGGTGAGGCTATAAAACACCAATGACACCTATGTCCACATTAGTCGACAGCATACCATATTGGGATATTCAACTGGTATGAGAATACCATTCTTTGCAGTACATGTGCAGGAAACGTTCATCGTTTTTTAACCGCTAATCACTAGATACATTTGGTGTTTGTGTCTTTTACGAGCTACCTTTTGACCAGGTTTTGAGTCATATTTTATCGATGCTGTAGGACTGGGCGATTTAGCGTGATAATAACACCAACACCCGCGACTGATTACGTGACGAATTCCTGTCTTAGTGAAACTCGGTGCGAACACTCCGCTTACAATTTGGATGACGTTCAAGAACACATATCATCCGCGCTTAATTACGCAAAACTCTTTCGATCATTCGAACCATGCCGATGACAAAGTTACAAAATAAAATATACCAATTAGCACATCCATGCCGCACACCATTCCTTGTAGGAAACCATCTGGAGTTCATGATATGCTTTATTACGCGCCAACAATTACAATGGTTGGCTTCAGAGTTCTTGGACGAAAAGAGCTCCTTCAGATTGACTGAACTAGTCATGCTTCTAGGGTTACCCTAATGGCGTGACACATTACGCATGCCGCACGAAAGTTTACATCGCAGAGCTCTATTTGAACAGCTCTATGCTGATTGGAGGTCATCAACACGCATGCAACCAAACGAAAACTTGCATTTTATTAGTTCCACACGCACTTGCAAATGATCACGTTATGCAAAAACGTCGCGAAATATCACACGAATACCTAACCCCACACAATGAACTCACTTTAGGGTCAACCGTTCAACCAGCAGTTTGCGGCAGAACAATTTTATGTGACGAGGTGGGGATCATGAATCTACTGACCGGAAGGTCCGTGGTTCGAACATGACCTCGGCTTGGGCGGTCTAGCAGGAACCCGTGTGCTTCCTGCTGATTTCAAGGCATTCAGCAAACAAAAGAGTGCCACAACTAATATCAGCTAAAGGGTAATGCCAGAGCTGAATCTCATGCGTCTGAGAAATTCTAAAGGGAAATGAAATAACCTGTCTACCTTTTAAAAGAATCAAGGATAAAGTTGAGATTTCGGTTCGCTTAGTGGGTGTAAGCCTCTTTATTTTGCCACCAATCAAACTTTTTGACCTCACTTCTAAGTTTTTAGTGGTGCATACTTGTTCAATGACCACACATACGTTTGGTGTAAACAGTCATTCCTGAAAATTGCAATATATCCGAATGAAAGGTTTTTTGTCCCAGTGAGTTTCGAAATGATCCACGTATGAGAAACGTACACTGTATATCCGGCTACTTAGATAAACGGAGCACGACGTATCACTTCTTATCTGGATTCAGCTTTATACGACTTTATTGTAGTTTACCAGTTGAATGGATTCTCATTTTTCTAAAGTACCAAACCGGCGAAAGTTTAAGAGTTGGGCACCTGATATTTCATCGATTTTCCCAATTAAGAAAGTTTTAGTGGAAATAGCCTTCAATAATTTACGGGACATCTTGTCCCCCAATTAAAGCGTTCGACACAGTGTTTACTTCTACAGACTGTCAACTGTTCACTACCTGGTGATTTTTGATTACATATTTAGTGGTTTAAATATAACCTGCTATTTCACTATAGAAAGTGTTGAGGACATACGGCGCCTACAATGATTTAAATGGTGTTTCAAATACGACAGTGAATTTGCTCCTTGGATACCATTAGCCATTTAGTAGAGTTCACCAATCAGGACGGAAAATCCTAATGTAATATTCTGCTGGTTGCTGCCCGGTAGAAGAAAACAGGATCTTGTGCAGCATCTCGTTGATTCCGAAAATTCTCGTTTGGTAGATATGCGAACAATTTCATGTTTCATCTGGATAATTTTCCAGCTATGAGTAACAATTTCAGTACAAATTGTTCCATGGGACTCGTCAACTTGCACTTAACACATTTACGGTTGCTCTAGACAAGCCTTGATCATCTAATTTTCTTTCGACTGTGTAGTTTCCCTAGTTGAGTCGTCGCCTTATCCCTCGCTTCTTCTGGGTCTCTTTAGAAGAAATCTTGACGGGAGTCGGGCAGACCACAAACGTTGGGTGAAAATTTACTGATTCGCTACCTAGCAATGTTTTGGTCAGAAAAGGTTGTTCCCGGAAAATAGTGGAACCTCTGTTCTGACGGCAAAACGTATAGAACATTTTGCTCGTAGACAAAGGTTAGATGAATTGAACAGAGGGAATCTGACTGTAGCTTTTTCATGCCCGTGAAAATTTGGAAGTTTAGCAGCCCATCGTTTCATCTACTGTCCGTTCACGTTCTTCCATTTTACCAGGCCGTGCACGTATGGAAAAGACCAGTTTGCTGTTCTCTCTACTGGCGCTTTATACAACTTTGATGATTGGAATTCAGTGGTAAACGCGGAAACATGGTACGTTCAAAAACTTGAGTGTCAAATATCTGATTAAAGAACGCTTTTCCGCAAAACCATTCCACAACCTACCCCCGGTTTTGTCCTGCTTCATTCAACTGCACGCTGGCCTAACTAAGCTCTTCAAACTTTCAAGATTTTCCATGGTTTCGCAAAACATGAGTTGATTTGCAACCAAAAACAACAAAGGTTCCAATTTCTAATCACGAAACATATCGATTATATGCCATTGCTTACCGTTGCATTTGTGTGTAGGGTTATCCACTACGCAATGGTGTTGACATCCTGATTGGCCATGCGACGTTTGCAACCAAGCCGCACAGCCCACCTCTCATAGTGCCAACCATTCGCACAAACAAGGGTACCATAATCTTCCACAGCATATAGTTTCGAGGACTACATTAGCAGTGCTCACCTACATTTATTTGTGGCAATCTTTTGAGAAGTGTCGCAGTTGAATTTTCAATCTGGAAAGCAGTTGCCTGCATCGAGACTTATTTGAAGTTATTTTCTGAAAAAGTCTGATCACGCAGTCATCGTATACGGAAGGAACTCTTAAACGAAGCGTCAGAAATTTAACGGAGATTGTGAGTATACCAGTTCTCAGTTGCCAGTACCCTTAGTTATGGCGACTAATTTAAAATTTCACGCAACGCTCTGCAGGCCTGTTACCGCCTGATGGAGCGAGCTGTGAACGTTCCTGCCTTCAAAGTCGAAGACTTGGTGATCGAAGTCGACACAACCAAGGTTATAAACTGTTGATTGGCAGTGGTAAGAGAAAAATCGCAGGCCCATTGCCTCCTCCTTTTGAGGTGGATCTGTCAAACTATTTACGTCAGGATAAGAGTATATTAGTGCACAGTTGATGGTAACCATAATACAAATCAGAAGGGGAGAAGAAGAAGGCGAGACCGTATGTGCTCCTATGGGTAGCTCCGTTTGCGCGTACGTGGGTGTGACAGCACATGAGTTGTTGCTACGCTCACCATACGGTACAGACAATCGATGTCCGATGAGTCACCTTGATGTGACGTGGTTTGCGAGTATGAAACAAAACGTCTCGTGATCCAGTGAGCGATTGTGTGCTGAGGAGTCAAGTGTGTGGGTGACCGGGTAGCCACAAGTACAACTACTCGAACAACTTTTATCCCCATGTATGGAAGTGTTTCCGTTTTGATCTACTAATTTTCACACAGGATTGTTATTTCGGAGCCCAAAATTTAGTTGCCGCAATTTAGGCTATTCTTACTTCAAGTAGCTGCGATCGGTGGAGTAGTTACTCTGATTAGTGGTTGCCATGATAAAAACAAAACAACAGGCGTTTTGGTAAACTTCTAAAGAGAACCAAGTCCTCATTCACCGAATAACGTAAACTTTTTGGAAGCACCACATATGAAACTCGTGCTTTGAGCCATAATTACACTTGACCATTTTAAATCACTGACGTCGCTTTGTGAGTTTCAGGCTGAAAACTCCTGTCCTTTGGCAGCATCATTCTACACCTTTTTGTTGTAAGAAACTACATGTTAGTGCCCGTGCTTATAAAAACCCTGGTAGCTAAAACAGTGACACCAAAAACCCACTTCTGTCCATTATTTGTAGCCCATTGTTTACTGGAACTACCACGTCTCCAGTTTCTTTTACGAATTTCAAAAGGGGCGGTTGAAGCATCCCAACAAGATAAGTTCGGTCTGGCAGTTTCGCGTATCTGATCAACTGTTTGCATATATTTAGTAAAGAGGTTAGGGTGGAGTGAGGGACTTTACAGCGAAACCCAACGCCGATTGGATAACTTGGTGAATTTGGATTAAGCATTGTCATGTTAGCCATCTGAAGGATTCGAAATTACACCAGCCTACAAAAATACCGCACGATTATGGTCGCTAATTGGATGATGAATTCGTTACATTTGACGACGATTTACGTATAAAACGGATACCGGAATATTTATATCAAACAGTTTATTCACATGTGGGCATGAAGAGAACGAGCATTTATACTTCTTAGTAGTGAAGAGGGTAAAAAAGATGGATCACTTGTCAGAGTGACGTACTTCAATACTTCTTGGAAGGGAATACAGTCTAAATTGAAAGCTTTTCGCAACAAAACTTCAACTAACCATGACAAAATGCATGTGATCCTAGAAGGGGATTCGGAAACTCGGCGGTCATGCAGGGTGACAACAAGCATCCCAAAAGATCCAGGTACTGGTGCCGAATAGCTGTTGAGCAGAACAAAAAACCGAATGCTCCTGAGAACGGTTTCATCACTCAGCTTTTCAACAGGCATCAAAATGTGCGCCAGTGCAGCGATAATTCAGTGAACTTATACCAGCTTATTCATCACTACATTCTTAGCAGTCTCAAAAAACATGACGGATATAGACAGAAACCAACCCAGACGGATTGGACTCGCCCATTACCTGTGTTTACCCTTACTAAATTTAGCCATGGGTGGAAATACCTCTAAAGAACCTAGGGAGAGTTTTCTGTAGGGAATTATGGACGCGTTTTGAAGAAGTCAGTCATTAAAATTTTAAAAATTTCGTTCGGTGAAAACGCTCGCTTCTCGACGGTTCGAAAGGTAACCAGATGGGCAATTAGTAAACTGCCATAACAACAGACGCTTATTATTCTCCGCTGAAACTAAAAAGCTAGGTTTGAATTTTTGACCAGCTTCACCTTGTCTGGATATGGTGGGAACCGCATTTCCAACTCTGGTAATATTTGCAAACTGATTAGAGGTCTGATTTTCGTTGTTTTCTATGCAGTTTTCGTAGGATTGTGTTTTCTCTACACGTTGTATGTCGGTTGCCCTGCTATAAATTTGATCCCGAACGTATGTTAACACCTTGTGCGTTTGGATTCGATTTAGTGTGACCTGTTATGATGCCTTCACTTACCATCATGAAGTGGACTGAAACGCTGACGTGTATAGTCGACGGTTTTCTGTACGCGTGGCAGAGACATATTTGGCCAAACAGTAAGTAGCGAGGGGGCCGACCGTTATACATGCGATCGATGTATATGTTGTTGCTCAAATGCAATAACATCTTAAACTTCCGAGGGCATCTTTAAGCCGTATAAATTACCATGATACAGAACAAAATATCGCGGAGAACTCTGACGACCACAAAGAAGCAGCAGATGTTTTCGACCTATAATTTAGGTATACTAGTGATCAAAACCTATTGATCCTGCTTCTGTCTTCTCTTACAGCCTTACATTCTCCGTTTCAATCAGTAATACTTAGTTTTTTCATGTCACCACAATATGTGTCGCTGTCACTCAAAATTGTGTATTCAACCACAGATAACTGCGTTGTGCAGACTTCACGTTTCAACACTAGATTTCGTATGAAAATCATTTGAAGAAAATCTATATGGTAATTTGAATTTGGAAAGTAAATTTCTCAGACTAATTAATACTATGACATCATGGGAGGAGATAGATAAGCCCAAGAGTGTTTGGTTTGGATAACCCACAACTAGGCACATGCTACGATCATTGAAACAACCAAAACGAGCAGGATTCCGCATGAGTATTCATGCCCCATTATGCGATTACATACCACATTCTGCCTGTTCATGTAAACCATAAACTTATGAACGAGCGCCTTATATGACAAACGGATTTCTCTCCTTGATTTCAGAGTCTATCCCATTCTGCCGTTCATGTAAACCATAAACTTATGAACGAGCGCCTTATATGACAAACGGATTTCTCTCCTTGATTTCAGAGTCTATCGGAATCAAAACAGTTGAAACATAGTCTATTGCTTTTGTGTATTCCCACGCACTTACCACAAACACATTTTGATTTTTTTCTCTTAAGTATTTGACATTAGCTTCTGTACCCACGGCTTTTGTAGTAGCCTGTTTGGATTCCTTTAAAAATGCCAAAATAAATAAATGAATCAAAAGCTTCGCTTCTAGTGGTGCAACAATCTAAAACTTGTTTCAGTGATCTTCACAATTTTGGCAGAATGAAAATGCACTATGATGTTGCAGTGGCTTGATTACGTTGCTGCTGCTGGTTTCCCCAGAAAAATAAAAGTGCTGTATCATCGCTTGCTCACACACTAGGATATTATTATCCAACAGGCATACTATGGACGCAAAAACACGCTTCTCCAGGAGAATTGACTTTTGTCCTCGTCTGCTGTCAGTCTAATCAGGTATCCATTATGTGCAGCATGCTACTGGGATTCATCCGGGCAATGTTAGTAAGTAATGTTTGCCGTTCTTAGCAAGCGTCTTTAGGTGAAAGCTGAAGGCAAAAGCCAAATTACAAGAGGTTTGATAGCAACCTTACCAAATGCATTCATCGATTCCGAGTACGCAAAATGTCATCCAGCTGTCGCCTAGTCTCTGTGGATAAGGTTATAACATCCATGATGGACCAATATGCACACCATTAGCTATTCTCCAGTGCGTGCAAAATTCCCATCGCCACTGTATGGTTATTATGATTGCTAGTGCGTTGAAAGTGAAATTATCTATATCTACTTCCTATAAGCTTTGCCACATCCCATAAGGTTCTAGTACCGTATTAAGTTACAAAACAAAATCAACACGCAACAGGGTCGTCGTACATTTAACACATCCAAATATCGTCATCAAAACAAACAACTATTTCAGTCTCCATAGCTCTGGTTCCTATTTTTTGAATGAAATGCAACCACCAGTGTCTGGTTTCCAATAAGAGGGGAAAGAAGAAGAACGAGGCTGGTTAACTCGCTCATGCTGATCTTTGGTTGATTTTAGAAAAGAACGTTCTGAATAGCTTAAAGGTTTTTCCATTTTGCTTTCCCATTTTCTCATCGCTAGTCACATTTACTTTTTCGGTTAGTCAGTGAAGATGGCCAAACGGATATTCGTGGAACAAAGGATTACTTGAAATATGGCAGAAGGAGGTTGAGATATTTCGATTGATGAGGCCTGAATGTAGTTTACTGACTGTTTCCACAGAATTCGTTGAGTGGGTTAATCATTTCAAGGTTCGCATCTGTCTAATGTTGTAATCATATTTAGCGCGTTCAGGTATCATTCCTTATACCGCCTGACCATACATCAATTTGCCGCCACCGGTTCTAATTCGGAGGATATACTAACTGAACTGTCTATGTGAGCTAATGTTAATGTCTATAAATTGAACGTAGCCCCACTTGTTGATGGTTTTAAAGTTTCTATCTTGGTATTGAAGAAGCAAACACTAGATACCATAGGCTCTAACACAGTTTAAGGATGAAAATCGTTTAAATCTTGTTAGGCTGACCAACCTAGTGCAGCTGGAAGACTGCAACGCCTGTTGTATGAATGACCAAAATCCCATTGTTTGGTTCTCTGGCAGTGTCATTTGGTCACTTAGTCATTTTTTCGGTGAG